GCGGGGGGGCAGCACGTGGCGAGCTGAGGCAGCGCGGCCTGAGCGGAGCTGCTGGGGCTGGAGCAGTGCTTTGGCTGCTGCTGGAGGAGCTCTGGGGCTGGAGCAGTGCTTTGGCTGCTGCTGGAGGAGCTCTGGCCCCACCTCCTGTCTCTCCACGCACCTGCTGACTTCCCGTGCGACGTGTTGTGCTGGTGGTGACGACGGTACCTTTCATCACCAGGTGTGTCGGGAGAGCTGGCGAGTTCTGAAGTGCGAAAGCCTTTTGATGACACTTTGGTGCTCCCTAAGGTACAAATTGAGTCTGGAGCTGTCTTCTCCACACTGTGCATCTGTGGGTATGAAAATGAGTTTATTTTAAAAGCCCCAAAGAACTGGGGTTTTTAACAGCCCGTAACTTTAAGTGGCTGGGGCAGTGTTGCGGCAGGCCTTGAGTTGCCTCTCCCTCCGTGGCTCCCTGTAAATGGTTTTGGCCCTTTGGCCTGAGGAACAGCCAGCCCTCGCAGCACGAGAGCTGGCCTTACCGGTGGGCTGCTGATCCCTACTCTCTGGGAGGGATTTAGGGCAGCTTTTCATTGTGTTACCTGTTTTGGGGTTGGGAGGACACCTTAAGATAGTTCTCTGGAAAAAGCCCAGCACTCTGGGCCAGAAGCCTTGTCCATTGCTCTCCCGTTGGAGATGGACTCGTGCTCCAACAGGGGCTTCGATGCTGTTTCTTTGCCTGTTTGATGGACAGAGCAGGGGCAAAACCTTCTCATTCAGAGACTGGGAGTGGGATGCCAGGGAATGTGGCTGGATAAGTACACTGGAGGGCTTGTGAGGATCATGGGGAAATCAAAACCCTTCAGAATCGTACTGTCTTGTAATTGGGAGAGGACGGGAAACACGGGAATAGGAAGTGACGTTTAGGGTCTGATCCTAAAGCCGAAACCTTAGCTGCTGCAGCTTCAGAGACAGAAAAGAGCAGAGTCCTGCTATTAGTGAGGCTCCTGTGGACTGCAGTTGCCAGCTCAGGAAAGGGTGGCCGTAAACTGCAGGATGTGGAAAGCCGGCGTTTCCAAAGTGACCCTTTCACAGGATTGATAGGAAAATTGAAACCTGTTATTTTCCTTTAGGCCAGCCCCGATGGCTCTCCCAATGGCTGCGAGCAGTTCTCTAAGGAGATTTGTCTGCCTGGAACTCTAGACTGTCTTGCTGCGGAGAAGCAGAAAGAGCTGTCAGCTTTGATGCTGGAACTGAAGGAAGCCCGTGAAGAAATAACTTCTCTGAGAAGTCAGCTTGAGCGCCCCAACAGCCAAACGCCTGCAGATGGCGGAGCGGGAGAAACCGTTACCCAGCTGGAGGATAATTCCCAGATACAGTTTCTTGAGGGGGAAGAGCAAAAGGCTTCAGATAAACAAAATGAGCTGGGCAGTAGCTCATTACTGAGAGAAGTAGAAATGCAGCAAGTTGGTGTGCTTAAGGAAAACAGACCCAGCCCTCAGGAAGTGCCCCAGGGGAGCTCTGTCCCCTGCCCAGGAGGGACAGGCACACTGCAGGAGATCTCCACAGCAGATCCAGAGCCTGGCAGCCCTCGGTCTTGGGAACTGCAAAAGTTACAAAACCAAATCACAGAACTGCAAATAATTCTGCAGAAATCAGAGGAATCCTACAAGAAAACTCTAGGAGAAAAAGGTGCAGAAATAAATAGGCTACACGAGTTGGCTGAGGGATACAGGAAGAAGCTGGAGGATTCTGCCAGGGCATTTGACGTGTTGGCTGAAGAGCGAGACCAGCTCCTGTGTCAGATGAAGGAACTTTCTACCGTGACAGAACTGAAAGAGCAGGTGAAGCAACTTGAGGAAAATCTGTCTCTTTCAGAAAAGCAGAGACTGTCAGATACTCAAAGCAGTCTTCTGCGAGAACAAATCCAGAGCCTTAGGAATGAATTTAAATCCAAGGAGATGAAAATTGAAGCTTTGCAAAAAGACTTGGATGAAGCGCAGTTTCAGCTTTCGGACCAGGACATGCAGCTAAAAGATCTGAGAAGCCAGGTGGAGAAGAAGGAATGCGAAGTACTGGATCTAGAACAGCTTTTGAGGAAGAACACTGCTGAGATGGAGGAGCTTTCCCAAAACTTAGCCTCCAAGGGACGTGAAGCAGCAGGCCTAGAAGAGCTCGTTGTGGAATACACCAGGTCTGTAGAGAGCCTGCAGCAAACCCTGCTGGAGAAAGACCAGCAGGTGGCAGAGGTCAGCGTCAGCATGTCTGAGAAAATGGGCCTGCTGAATGAAGAGAAGTTTGCTCTGTCGAATGAGCTGAAGATTCTTAAAGAGCAGATGAGTGTCTTGCTGAAAGCCCAGGAAGAAGATGACCAAGAGACAGACGCAAGCGACACGTGTCTGAAATGTGGGGTGTCAGAGCAGCAGATTGATGCAGGGGCAGCGAGTCAAGGAAGTGCAGAAGCCACTAAACTTCTCAAAAAAGAAAATGAGCAAGTCAAGCAGAAGCTGCGAGCAGTGCTTGGCACCAGGAAGGAGCTTCTGAAGAAGGTCAGCAAGTTGGAGAAAGAATTGGTACAGCTGAGAAGAGGACGTGAATCAGGAACCTTGGTGCCTCAGGAAGCTGGAGGGGAAGAAGACATGACAAGTGTGATGGGCAGAGAAGTGAATCCTGAAAGCCAGCCCAGCGACGAGTATCTAATTCAGCTGCTTTCTGAAAAGGAGGCTGAGTTGCAGACCCTCCGGAAGGACCTGCTGGATAAAGAAACTACGGAAGCACAATTGCAGGCGGTGATTGAGGAGATGAAACGAAGCTTGCAAGGTGAGACCAACGTTGTTTCCATTAAGGATGAAATGATGGAGAGTCAGACAGATGCTGGACAAGTAACCGAAGCCAACAAACCCCCAGAAGATTATGAAGAAGATGACAAAACCAGCTCAGGAGCTGCAAACCTGGAAGAAAATGAGAGGTCTGCTCTGAAAGAGAAGATTTCAGCTCTTGAACAAGAAAAAGAACAGCTTCAGAAGAGACTCCAGGAGGTGCTGGTGTCTCGCAAAGACACTATAAAAAAGGCTCAAGAGAAAGACAGACACCACAGGGAGCAGCTGAAGCAGCAGAAGGATGACTACAGCAGCCTCCAAGAGCAGTTTGATAGGCAACGCAAGGAGACAGAGAGCATCCAGGCTCAGCTCAGGCAACTCCGAGAACAGAAAGGATCGACAGAGCCCGCTCCTGCTAGTCGGGACAGGTTAGACCCTTTGTGCGTGGAAGCAGGGGATGCGGCACTTGACAACCTTGTGCAAGCTGCAGACGGTTCTGGGGAAGAGCTTAAGGAAAGACTTGAAAGATTGCAGGTGGAGAAGGAGGGGTTGGAATCCAGCCTTAGCCGCACGCAGAGTGAACTGGCCAGCAAATCAGACCTAGTCTTGCAGTTGCAGGAGCACATAGCACAGTTGTTCCTGGAGGTGGAAGGGCTGAAGGGAGCCTCAGGCCAAGCTGGAGCTACGGCAGCAAGTCCTCAGGCAGAACTAGCAGAGAGCCGAGCAAAAGCTGCTCAAGAGTGCAGCCTGGAGGACCTGAAAATACTTCTGCACCAAAGGGGTGAAGAAATGGAATGTCTCAGCGTGCAGGTAAGGGAGAAGAACGAAGCGCTCGAGAACATGCAGGCACTGTTGCTGGAAAAGGAGGATTCAGTCAAGAGACTGCAGAGTCAGTTGGAAACTCAAGCTCAGGTCCATGAGGAACATGGTAAGCGACTGCAGACGGAGTTGCTGGAAATGCAGGAGAAGCAGGATGATGGTGCGGAAGCAGCCAAACAGAAGGCTCAGATGCAGAGGAAGTTGCAGGCTGCCCTTATCTCTAGAAAAGAGGCGCTGAAGGAGAGCAAAGCCCTGAGAGAGGAGCTGGCTAATGCCAAAACTACCATTGAAAATCTGGCTGTCAGGCTGACAGATCTGGAAAGTCAAATATGTGGCCACGCTAAAGAGAGGGATGCTTTGACGGGGAAGTTAGCCGGCCTTGCTGTCGAGCGGGAAAAACTTACTGCGGAAGTCGAGAAGGTACTTGCAGAAAATCAGAATCTGGATGGCTGCTGCAAAAACCTGACGTGTGCCCTGGAGAGGGTTGTGCTGGAGAAGGAGAAGCTGGAGAAGGAGGTGGAATCCCTGAAGTGCTTTCAAGCCACTGAGAGTTCCGAGTGGCATGAGAAGCACAGAGAGCTCCAGAAGGAATACGAAACGCTCCTGCAGTCGTATGAGAACGTGAGCAATGAGGCTGAGCGCATCCAGCGTGTTTTGGAAGGTGTTAGGCAGGAAAAGCAGGAAATTTTCCTTAAGCTGAAAAGTGTTGAAGCTAAAAAAGAGGAAATGGAGAAGCAGCTACAGGAAGCTGGACAAGAAATCGATGGAATGAAGGAGAAAATGAGGAAATTTGCAAAATCTAAGCAACAAAAGATCCTGGAACTAGAGGAGGAGAATGAAAAGCTTAGAGCCGAGCTGCAGGTCACAGGTGGAGAGCCCCATGGGGCTGGAGGTGTCGCTGCAAACACCGGCCCGACAGAGGAGCTGGGGAGCTCTAGGCAGGATTGCCAGTCTCCTCCTCAGCTCGAGTCAGTCTTGGCTGAAAAGGAGTCCCTTTGTCACGAGATCACAGACCTAAAGTGCCAGTTGGAGGTAACAGAATCTAAGCTGAAAGCAAGCAGAGCGCTGGTGGCCCAGTATGCTGCTTGGGAAGCACGAGGGGAAGAAACAAGGCAGGCAGTTGCCATGCCACCACCACTGGAGGAAAATCAGGCGGATGTAAGCGTTAGACCAGAGTCTTCAACTGCAGAACTGCAACAAAAAGCACCTGAAGCTGGTGGCCCTTGTGAAGGTCTTGGTAGCTACGTACAGCAGATCGCTGAGCTCACAGAGCGAGTCACAGAACTCGAAGGTGCCAGGAGGGCTGCAGAGCAGCAGCTGGGCACCATCCGCGCACGCGAGGAGACTTTAGCAGGTGAGAAGAGGGCCTTAGAGACCCAAGTGGAAGAGAAAGTCCGTGAATTGAACGTTCTTCAGGACACAGTAGTCAAGATGGAACAGACAGTCCAAGAAACCAGAGGTGACCTCCTCAGGATGGCAGAGCTGAAGGATGCGCTGGAGGCCGAGAAGGATGACTTGGAAGAAAGGCTCATGAACCAGCTGGCAGAACTCAACGGGAGCATTGGGAACTATCAGCAAGATGCAACAGACCTGCAGATGAAAAATGAGCAACTGAAGCGTGAGCTTCAGAGTTTGCAGAGAACGATGCATGAACTGGAGGCGGAGAAGTGTCAGATGGCAAAGGAAAACAGTAAAGCCAGTTCAGAAAAACAAACGGAATTTGCAGAAAAACTGAGGTGCAGTTGGAGGGGAGACAGCAGCACCCACGTGAGGGAGCTTCAGGAGTTGCTGAAGCAGAAGCAGCAGGAGATCAAGCAGCTGCAGAAGGACTGTATCAAAAGCCAGGAGAAGAACAGCGGGTTAGAGCGAACTGTTAAAGCTCTGGAATTTGTGCAGAGTGAGTCTCAGAAAGAGGCCGAAGCAGCCAAAGCGAGTTTAGCCAAGGCAGCTGAAGACACCCGGAAAGCCCAGGCGGAGCTTGCCCTCTGCAGGGTAGCGCTGGATGACACCCAGAGTGAGGTGGCGAGGGCCCTAGCGGAGAGCGTCAGGGCGAAAGAAGAGTTGCAAGCAAACAAAGAGAATATCAAAATTCAAATGAAGAGAAAAGATGAGGACTGGGAGAGAAGGCTGGAACAGGAAAAAGGCAGGCATTCCAGGGAAGTGAAGAACCTGGAAGAAAAGCTGGCGGCTTTGCAGAGGGAGAAGGGCCGTATGGAAATGACCGTTGGTGACCTTCAACACTCCTTGAAGACGAAGGATCAAGAAGCAAAGCAACTGGAAGGCAGCCTAACCAAAACGCTAGCCCAGCTTGCAGCCTTCACCAGGAGCATGTCGTCCCTGCAGGATGACAGGGACAGGGTGATAGATGAATCAAAAACGTGGGAGAATAAATTCACTGAAACTATTCAAAAGAAGGAGGAAGAAATACGTTCAAAAGAGGAAACTTGTGATGTGCTGACAGACCAGGTGAAGCAGATGAGCGCACGTGTGGAAGAGCTTCAGGCTCACATATCCAGGTAAAGAGGGTGGAAACGATTCACCTGATGTTCTTGTATTTCCCTTTGCCAAGGCGGTAGCCAGAGGTAGGATCATGGCCAGTGGCTCCATGTCTGAGTGGAGACCAGTGACGAGTGGCATTCCTCAGGGTCAGGACTGGGACAGGTGCTCTTTAACATCTTTGTCAGTGACACAGATGGTGGGATTGAGGGGCACCCTCAGCAATTTGCCAATGACACTGAGCTGTGCGGTGTGGGGACAGGCTGGAGGGAAGGGATGGCATCCAGAGGGACATGGACAGGCTGGAGAGGTGGGACCGTGCCGACCCCATGGAGTTCAGCCAGGCCAAGGGCAAGGTCCTGCACGTGGGTCGGGGCAATCCCAGCCACAGGCCAGGCTGGGGGAGAATGGATAGGGAACAGCCCTGAGGGGAAGGACTTGGGGGGCTGGGGGCGAGGAGCTGGCCCCACCGTGTCATTCATCTGTGACCGACTTTCTCTTCTCTGTTTTCAGGCTGGAACGCAACAGGGAAGACTGGGAGTCTGAATCCAGGGAGGAGATTCAGCGGCATGAGAAGACATGTGAAATGTTGCAGGAGGAAAAGGAAACGCTTTTGACTCAGCTTGAAGAGGCTCAGAAGCTGCACAGCAAGGCTCAGCGCGACCAGCAGAGGCTGGAGTCCGAACTCGGCAGCCTGAGAGACCAGCTTGCTGACCTACGGAATTCCCTCACCAAAAGTGAAGGGGTTAGAGAAGAGCTGGGATGTGTGGTCCAGCAACAAGAGACCGTTATCCAGACCTTGAAACTCAGCTCCGAACAGCTTGAGGCTGACCTGCAGGCTGCCAGGGACCTGACAGCCAAGCTGCATGGAGAAGCCAGCACCAAGGAGCAAAAGATCATGAGTCTGCTGTCTGCCAAGGAAGAGGCAGTTACGGCCGCTCTGTCGGAATTACAGCAGCAGCATTCTGAAGAGATGAAGGAGTTGGAGCATAGGCTGAGCAAGGAGAAAGAAGATAAAAAAACCTTGGAAAATGAGAAGAACAAATTGCTTGACCAGCTTGATCATCTGACTGCCAAGGTGAAGCTAAGCCGAGAGGAAGGTCAGCAGCAGAAGGCACAGCTGGACTCCTTCACCAAGGCCATGTCATCTTTGCAGGATGACAGAGACCGTGTACTCGGAGACTACCGGCAGCTTGAGGAACGTCATCTTGCTGTAATCCTGGAGAAAGACCAGCTAATTCAGGAGGCGGCTGCTGAAAACAACAAGCTCAAGGAGGAACTCCGAGGCTTTCACAGCCGGATGGACGATGTCAACTCTGAGAACGCCAAGCTGAACGCGGAGCTGGTGCGGTGCAGGGAAGACCTGAATGAGGTGATTTCAATAAAGGACTCCCAACAGAAACAACTTCTCAAAACGCAGCTTCAGCGGATCCAGACTCTGGAAAAGGAGAAGGCAGTCATGGAAATGCAGCTGAAAGAGGCTGCGTGTGCGCAGGACGACCTCGGGCAGAGCGTGGAGGCCTTGAGAGGGGACAAAATCACTTTGTCTCAAGAGATTGAAATCCTTACGGCGTCTCTGTCTCAGGTGAGGAGCGAGGTGACAGCGTTACGTGAGGGGGGTCCTGTCATGGAGTGTCAAGCACAACTGAAGGCCCGGGAGGAAGAGGCACAAGAACTGGGTCATAAGCTTTCCCTCTCGCAGAGAAGGATAACGGAACTGGAGGAGGAGCTGATGTGTGTTCAGAGAGATGCAGCCAAGAGAGTGGGGGAGGCGGAGGACAGGCTTCGGAAGGAGCTGAAGCACCTCCATCACGATGCGGGGATAATGAGGAACGAAACAGAAACAGCAGAAGAGAGAGTAGCAGAGCTGGCACGGGACTTGATGGAAATGGAGCAGAAATTTCTTGCAGTCACAGATGAAAACAAAGATCTCCAAGCTCAAATTCAGTCTTTTGGGAAGTCCATGAACTCCCTTCAGGATAGCCGGGACCAGGCCAATGAAGAGCTTCGTGCTTTGAAACAGAAATACGCCGCAGACTTAGGGGAGCAGAAGAGTCTGGTGCAGAATCTTCAGAAAGAGATGGTCCAGCTACAAGAGCAGCAACATTGCACTGCCAGGGACCGAGATACAGCGAGGTCGGAACTGATGGAACTGCAGAAAGCCATGGATGAAGGTGGCCTCTTGGCCCAGGCAGAGGAACTTCATCAGAAGCTCAGAGCCAAAGATGATGAGCTTCTCCGTTTGTCTTCGGAGCTGGAAGGCTCTTCCAGCCAAGTCAGGTCTTTCGCCAAGGCTATGGCAAGCCTGCAGGGTGAGCGGGACCGTCTGCTGGATGAATTGGGAAGAACGCGCAAGACTGAAGAAGGGAAGCAAGGAGCAGATGGGAGCGTTCCCGGTGCTGCGGCAGAAGTGCAGAGCCTGAAGAAGGCGCTGTCCTCCCTGCAGAACGACAGGGACAGAGTAGTAAGTCCTTTTTCTCTCTTCCTGCTCATAAAGCCCCATAGGAGATCTGGATCTTCAGATCCTGACGGTTGGCGCCCAGAGGGCTGTTCACGATGCAAAACACAGGTCATTGCCCTCTCAGGGCAGGTGAGGCTGGAAGGGACGGCTGGGGGTCTAGGCCAGCCCTCCTGCTCTGACAAGGGCAGCTGAAAGAGGTTGCTTGAGACAGTGTCCTGTCGGATTTTTAATATCTCCATTGGTGGATGTTCCACGGCTACTCCCAGCATCCTGCTCTTTCATTTATCTGGAAGTGGTTTCCAGAATCAGTTGCCCCATCACCTTCCCAGGACGGAGATGAGGCTGGCCAGCCTGCAGTTTCCCAGCGCATCCTTATAGGTAGGGACAACATTTGCTTTCCCCCAGTCTTCGGGAACCTCTCCCCATCACCTCGACCTTTCAGAGGTAATTGAGTTGCCTTCCGATGGCCTTGTCACTCGTGGGCGCACGCCATCGGATCCCACGGATCTATGTTATCCCTGACGCGTGGAAGCTGTGATTCACTGTTAACTTTGCAGGGCGGTTTCCTTTGCCTGTTTGGTTGAAAATATGGAATCGTAGGAATAAGGTGGGTCTCCTGCTGATCTGCTTAGTCCATGTCTGAGGAGTCTCGTGCATTTGCTTTCTCTCACGTTTCTAGAGGAGACTAGAGCCAAGACGTGGGCCTGTGTCTCCTCCCGGCATCCGATTGTCAGGGCAGGCACAAGGCACGGCGGCTTCGTTCCCATATCCCCGCTCGCGTATCGGTGTGCCCATGTCGGCATGGCCTGGCACAGAGCAGCTCGGGTAGTTTCAGGTTGTTGCTGGTCAGGTGACATTTCCACAGTCGTGTTCCACTATCACTTTCTCGTAGTTTTCCTTCTGTTAATTCCCAGCAGACTCTGTGATAGTGGCTGAAGCTCATCTTCCCTCTGTGTTTAACCGCAGCTGCGTGTGGATTTGGCTCCGCTGCTGCTGTGTGGAACCTGCACCTCTGCCTGGTGCTGCTGACGGCGAGGTGGGCCCTCAGGACAGGATCCCCTGGAGAACATCCCTGTCTCCAGGGTCAGGCGCATCTTCTTGCCCTGGAAAACTGATTGCAGCGATGGGTGTGTGACAACTGACCTCTAGTTCTAGTCTGACCAGGCCCTCAGAAGGATTTTCGTTCCCTGGTTTACAGTGAACACCAACTGCAGAGGCGGTTCTTAACCAGCTCCTTCTGTCCCTCGGTGCCTTAATAAGGGTGTTGTGGTGTTAATGAGGGAATTCGTGCTGCAGCCGGGGTCGTCTTGTCGATACGTGTCACGTCGTAAGGCAAGGCCTCAAACTCGCTGGCAGGAAGAACAGGACTCTGGGATTTTCTGTCCCAAGCTGGTTTAGTGGGCTGCTGTAACCGCTGACAGTCTCTGGTTTGTTACCTGAACGTGGTCCTTTTCTCCAGGCGCCATGAGAATTGCTCTCGCACGCGGTCGGGGAGAAGGGCAGCTGCTTGCTCGGTCGTCACGCCGAGTTTCCCGTGAATTGCAGGTCGGGGAGCTGAAGAGGCTGCAGCAGCAATACATCCTGCTGGGGGTGGAGTCCGCTGAAAACACCCGCTTGAAAGCACAGCTGGAGGAATCCCAGCAGGACGCAGATAACCATCGCCGGCTCCAGGAGCAGCTGAAGCAAGAACGTGTTTCCTGCCAGCAGGAGCTGCAGCAGCTGAGGTGGGAGTAGCCTGTTCCTCCACAGACGAGCAGTTGCGGGCAGGGCCGTGGCCTGCTGCTGCTGTCACCAAATCACTGTCCCGCCCAGGCCGGGCCACATGCGGCCACAGCCCAGCTTTTCCCTCAGGCTTAGGGCGAAGGGTTGCAGCTGGAAAACGCCAGTGTGAGACACCAGTGACCTTGTAACCTTTGTTTCCTTGCCCCAGCGGTGCCCAGTAGCATCTGGCTGGGAGGAAACTTCGGCCGCTCCTTGCGCTGGAGCTCACCTCTCGGTTCCAGGCTGACGGTGCGCAGGGAGCAGGACCCCCGCTACTGTCCTGCTGATAGCTCTTCACAAAGCACTGACTGAGTGAGCCGTGTTTCACTTCCTCTGGGGCTTCTGTGATTGGAGTCTGCTATGCTGTCAGCCTCAACTGGGCTAAAACCAGTTGGAGAAATAGACCCCGTCCCAAAAATGGGGAAAGCATCCTTTCATGTCCTTCAGGATCCACCTGAGAAGGGCTGGACCTGGAGTGGACGGGGTGGGGCTTTTGGGGCGACGTGAGGCTTATCTGTGTCCAAAGCACCTGGACAGGTGACCCCAGCTGACCAAAGGGACGTTCTGTGCCGTCAGGCACCGCGCACGGTGGGCTGGGGGCCGTGCTCTCGCCCGCTGGCCTGCTTTTGGTCGCGCTCTGTCGCTCGCTCTTGCTTGTGGGGGGGCTCGGGGCCTGGG